GGATGATTTTGATGGTCCAGATGGTGAAGTGTGGTCAACATATTCTGACTTCGGTGGCGACAACAAATACGGCATCGTGCTTGCTGCTGACCTGCAAGGAAGCTACAACGTGACCCCGTATATGGCGGGGTTCCAAGAGGTAAGTTTGTTCCTTCGTTCCTTTTTGGTTTTTGTTTTGTTATAAAGCGGTAGTCTGTAAATAATCCAGGCGGGACTAGACAATCCAGTGATCAACAGCATGAGCATATATCTACGCGATTTGGGATACGATGGAATGTGTCAAGCAATTAATCGAGGCTGACCACTAGTGTTGGGAATTGGTTGAAATTTCACAATTCATGATTGCTTCATTACCAACGAACAATCATCGAAAAAAATTGGTTAGCGTCATTTTTCAGATTTTCCTATCCAGGTTGTTATTGCAGATATGTATAACATGATTGCAACTTGCTACTTTAAAGTGATGACTAATATACCATGAACATAAACTTCCTTGAATCTTAGATAAACGTTCAGTCATGGCTTTTCAGTGAGTGAAGTGAGTTTTCTAAGAATTAAACACGTTTCCAGGCCCTGACAACTTCTAAGATATGTTCCATTGTCAAGTTTTTCAAAGTATAAAACAGTAGTTCCAAAATCGTTTATGTTCGATTATGAGAAATTGTGATCGATTACTTTGACGTTTGGTCACTGCGACCAATCTTCGATTATTTCAATTAATCGGAACACCACTACTGACCACCCAATGCCCTTAGTCGTCTCTTGCTGGCCAATTCTAACCCGGATCTTCACGGGTTTGATGATCATGAAGTGTTGGTATTGTGACGTTGAATGTGACTTGGTAAATAGAATAACGGTTCACAGACGATTAAAAAGGAATTGAAAGCGTAAGCATGAGCTAAAACAAACAAATATTAGAGTCTGTCTTTCCTTATTTACTGTTGGCTCTTACAAACATGACAAGCAAGACACACATAAACGAAAACCGATAACAAGCCAACATCTAAAGTATATTTTCTTCACTTAAAAGCTTCAGTAATTTTCAGTGCAGCTTGTGTTCGCCCATGTCAAATTGTGGCAGTCAGTTATTGGAAATACATTGAACAAACTGTATACTTCCAGTTCCCCAAGTCTATGGTGTTCTCTGCCAAAGACCCCAGCAAGGTGCAGCTGCTGACAGACCCCCAGCCTCTCCTGCTGAGTGGTTGTACCATGGTGGACTTCTGTCTGTACTATGTCTCCCCCGTTACAACATATGGAGGGTGAGGATCAAGCCACAAATCGTTCTCTGAGTGTAAAGCTTTCAGACAGGGTAGATTGTATGTTTGGAAGGAAGGTCATAGTGAGCTGTATTATCTGTGTCAGGTATACTGTTGTACATGCTTTTAAAACGATTTTAACAGGGATCCAGGTGTCATAAGGCACCAAGAGTCGTCTCCTTTAGCAAGGATCCGCACTCTGATCACTCTCACCTCAGATTCAAAATTTTTATGCTTGATGTCTGCGCATTTCCCTAGCATTTCTACCAATTTGATTACGGACATATTTGTTTTACGACTGACACAGTGTGATATCATTGAAAAACTGTCCCTCACTCCTGTGGTTTTCTTCTTTCAGTCACCAGGTCCTGATTCAAGGAGAACTTGACAAGTGGGTGCCAATGTCTCCACAGAGAGTTGTTGACATAAACTTTGACAGCAGCGACATCTTCGTCCGTATTGCAGGGGGAGCTAATGAAATTGTCAACTTTTGGTTCAACACTGACGGAGTGTCAAAAAGTCTTCAATGTGACCTAGGCGACTCAGGATTTGCTACTATTAGTTACAAAGCCTGGGGGTGCACATATGGATAGAATACAACATGCATCACAGTTTATATTATGACATAATTTGTAACAATAAATATCGTCATGGAAATAGATGATGTCCTGTACGATATATGTTGGTTAGACCCGATCTTGAACCCATGCTTGTCATAACAGTGTTTCAGTTTACTGAGATAAAAGGCTTGTGAGTCCCCTTTAAACCAGCATAATACAACACAGAATATTCATTTATATATTGAATAAACAAGGTGACACTGAATGACAGTACAGATACTAACACAATACTATTGGCTCGCAAATCTAACACATTAACTCACCAAAGTCTTGATATTTCCAGTAAACAGATGTACTGATTGAAGATTGTTGACAGCTGTTGAAAGTTCAAAGTAGACGAGGCCTCTTGAGTGGTATGTCTTGAAACGTCGATGTTAACAGACAAATGAGCGTAAATCCAAAGTCGTCCCCTCATACATCTCGGAACAGTCCCCCTATATACCTGTTATACAGTTCCAGAGAATTTTAGCACAAGCTACTTCACACCATTACCATTTAGAAATCACTGGAATCGCACTGTCTTCCACCGAAAACAACGGAAGCAAAACAAAGGGGAGGCAACTCCCAAGCCTACACTCAACAAGCGAAAACACACAGCCCAAGGTCAAGGTGTGAGTTCAAATCCACACCCAGCGCTTTAAACTTTTGTGACCCATAACAACTAAAAGTTAATTAATGTGACATTATAATTAGCAAAAGCACATCCGCGATCGGGTGTCAGGCTTCCTGATTTGGCAGACACATGTCATTGTATCCCAATCGATGATCATGCTGTTGATCACTGCATTGTCTGGTCACGACTCGATTATTTTCATATCCCCGCCATATAGCTTAAATAATGGCGTTGTGGCGTTGAACGACAACAAACAAACAAACAAAACACACATGTCATCGTATCCCAATTGCGTAGATCGACGATCATGCTGTTGATCACTGGATCCGGACTCGATTATTTGCAGCATTAAACAACTAACAATATAAACAAGGTTTGGCTGGAGACGAGAAATTGAAACTGGTAATCTCTTCTTGAAATATGTATCTGAGACATATATTTTGGGTATTGGTAAACACACCTGTAAGGATTGTAGTGTCATAGGTTATGCTAGTTCATACCCGGACACGATAAATCAGGAGACTTCAAAGTGGAAAATCGTGATCCAATCATGTTGATCAAAAGGACGAGATCGCGAGTATGTCCTTTACCGTATTGCATGGAGAAGCGCAGACCTCGGAAAAGACAACCACACTCCATCTCATTGAAACCCAATGAAGGACTGTTGAAGTAGGGAAAACACGAATGGCAAAATATTGGAATTAATAATGGAGATATAGGCGTCAAAGGTAACAGCTGAACACAAATACTTAACGGTATTACCACACAGTGACCGAGAGACATGTTGAATAAAAATAAATATTATTCAAAGCGCCATAATACGACATAGCGACAATGCGACCAATGGCGATAATGTCGCGTTGTGGCATTTTGCAACGTACTGCCTGTTTTTGTAAGAGCAACAATACGACATAGCGACGATGTCCCTTCAAGGATTCCATACGTATAAGATTCAATTTGGAAGTAGTGTCAGAATCTTTATCTCCTTAACAGTTACTTTGTCCATAGTTTTCTAACTTCTCTGACTCCTGACAGTGTTTGAGATCCATCGTCTTCATAACAAGCCCAAGGTAAAGGAGGATGCATCGTGTGATTTTATGACTACAGTGATTGTAAATGATAGGATTCAACAAAGGAAATATACTTCAATCAATATTTTTTCTTTTATTATATTTATATAGCGCACATATCCAGGCAACTAGTGCATGCTCAAGGGGTTGGTATTTTACCCTCGATCATTGGATGTCAATCTCAACGGCACATCGCATTATCAATCTCAACTCCCTGGGACGTATACAATAGGCTTTCTCATCTTAACGAGGTACCCATTCATAGCTGGGTGGACTGGGACACATAGTCACAGTACTTTGTCCAAATTCACTGCACGTTGCTGTACCCGCAACTAGGTGTTTGCACGTATTCATGTGGTCACCATCTGGTCATATACCAACGGATTCGTGGGTTCTTTTAAGTGCACAGGGTTGTGTACTGTACACTACAGGGGTTGTGACAACACTGAAAGAGTCTGCACACAAAAATTGACTCCAAGGTTTTTACACCCGGTCACAGGTGGGCTCGATCCCGACACCTCAACCTCGCTGGATCACTAGCATGGCACCTCAGCCAGCTCGCCCACCGCGCCCCCGAAAGTTAAATAGTGGCTCTTTTGGGTATAGTTCCTCGTGCATGTGTTTGCGATGCACAAGTTACAAGTTTGGCTTTGTTATGTTTGGTTCCTAAACTGAAACAATGAGCATTTCCACATGCATGTCTCTGTTCGAACGTAGCCCCTGTTTTTCCCCTCATGAAATGCCCAATCAATACATTTCTATACAGACTTTCATCATGAGTAAACTTTCGTTTTTATCGACAATATCCCAGCAGTTTATTTATTTATTTATTTTATTATTTTTTAAATATTTTTTGGTGACCTTTGTCAAATATACGGTAAACATCGCAAATGGATATATATGTAGACAATTCAAGTTATTATACGAATGTTTCAAAGACGTTTAATCAACGTATTCCTGCTAGGTGAAGGAATGTTTAGAAAATCTAGTGTGGGAATACATGATAACAACGAAATCTTGGAGAAAGGGTTAGCATACATGTAGGTGTATACAAATAAGCTACACTTGTTACCTAAACGTTCGTTATTCTGACAGATTTCACATCCAATATAGATTGTGCAAACATAAGCATAACGATAACCTATATTTATAGATGACCACGTATCAGTATAGAATTCGCCATCGAGATAAACTCCATCTGAAGTCCTGATATAGATGTAGGTCAATAGCGGTCAGTAATAACACCGATATCAGTTACAAAATTAAACTTTATTGATACTAAGCATGGAATTATATTTCCAACACTGCATATTTTATTCTAATATAACATGAACGTTTCTTTGCAAATTGCCCATGAAGTTACAATAGAATATAGATAGGATCATTCCTTAAAGGGCTCTTGGGGTCAAGGTCGAGGTCAAGGTGAAGATAATGTTCAGGAGCGTGAAGATCATCTGATCTTAGAACACTGCTGTGGGTGTCGGTGATGAAGATGGATGTCGGTTTTCTCCTCGTAGCTGTCATTCTTCTGTGCTCTGGAGGTTGGTGTTCTGTATTTGATTGTATCATATTTCCGTTGACATACGTCTTGGTTTTCATTGTATTTCCACACTGCACATCTGTTTAAGTTAACCATGAGAGCTCATTGCAAGCGTTGTGGAATCGTTTCAGATGTCCTTTAATTTTGTGACAACATTTTGCTCTTTACACCTATTGAAGTCAGTTCCGGCAGATCATCGAGACTGATTGTCATCTGTGTTGACGTTTCAGATCACATAATCGTTCTATGTATTTAAGCGTCACCTGATCATATAAGGTAGTTATAACAGCGGTGTCGTGTGCAGAAGGGAATTCCACAGTGACGTAATTAGGTCACGTGTTACTTTAGTTGCTCCCGACATTTGGATATTGCTCCTTGGCTAAATACTATAAGTTGTATGCTTCTCTCGAGAGTAATGCGTTCTGATGTACGCCTCTTTGTAGCAGTGTCACCAGAGCCAGTAGGCGAGGGATAACACTGCTACAAAAAGGCGTACATCAGACCGTATTACCCGAGCGAGAAGCATACAACGTATTTATCTTACTGCCATGTTAAATGTACATAATATTATTTTATTTAATTTTGAAGATCGTTACTGACTATATGACATGTAAACAAAATGGCGTCTGCCTCTCGACTGGATTTTTAAAATCAGTGAAACACATTCTGACAAGTTTAAAACTGCAATGAAAATGGTTAATTTTGTTTAAATTGAGTGTGCAAACGATTCAATGTTTAAAATAGTTTAAATAAAGCAGTGAAAGTCGGTAAAATAAATGTGTGTATAGTGAACTCAAAAACAGCTTATCGAACGGTTTTCGTACTCCTTGCACTGCATGCGTCATATTACCCATGAATGTTTTGTTTTTTTTCCTTCCTAGTGCTATCTTCTGTCACGAAAGGTCTTTGCAAGTGGGTTGGGTTGGGTGGGGGGGGAAGGGGAGGCAAATGTTGGCAATGCGCTTTTGAAAGTATGTATGATGTATTTGTCATGTTGGCCGTTGGCCTATTAAAGAAATAAACATATTATGACGTCATACGATTGTTAGCGATACAGCTTCTCGGCGGAGAGTTTTAAGGTTACCGGGGCAGAGGGTAATATTTTATTTTCCAGTTGTCATCCTTCTGGGAGAGTTTGACTTGGACACTTGTTAAAACGCTACTGACAAAATTTAAAGTATTTTACATGAAGTATTTTATGTTATCAAACGTAATCGAACTAAGCTCTCCTGCCATGAACACAAAACAGCATAATGAACATTTCGAATGATTGATACACAGCGGTATAAGTTACCTTATAGCGGGTCGCCCGGGACTTAACGTGTTGATAGGTCCTGTACTCAGCCACCCCAGGGTGGAGGGGTGTACATGAACGGTGAACCTGTGTCGTCACGTGCTTCAAGTTAAAACGTGTCAGTTGCTAGTTCACAAGTGCCTAGACATATGTACGGTTTCATATATACTCATGGAAACAAATAAGGGAACACATGAAAGTACAAGTGTACTTTCCAGGTTTCCTCACAAGGTATGTATTGCACTGTGGGTGAAAATCTGGAAATAAATGAAAGAACACTTGTATATTCATGTGTTACCTTATTCGTTTCCATGAGTATATCTGTGTGACAGTCATTCATAGCTTTTAGCCGCCATACGGCTTCAGAATTTTCTTATTGGCCCATCAACGCAACGTGATCATGAAGTGATATCCTAACAATGATCCCAACAGGTCATAAATGTGATTTGTTTTCTAATTTCACAAAACAGCGACTGGGAAATAATCAATCAAATGGCATATGCGACTGGAAGGCATTGACCCTTACTTGCTCTTTTCCCTAGCACCAGGTGTCAAAACTGATATGTGGTGTTCAATTTATATAAATTCCTTCATTTTGCAAATTTACACGATATGGAATCTGGGCAGATCATGGAGACACCGATACCGATACTCGGGCGATCACTTTGCATAATTTTGTAAAGTTCATTTGCTTCATGCTTGTCATAAGAATCGACTAACGGGATCGGGTGGTCAGGCTTGCTGACCTGGTTGACACATCGTATCCCATTGACGTAGATCGATGCTCATGCTCTTGATCACTGGATTGTCTTGTTCAGGCTCGATTATTTACAGACCGCCGTCATGCAGCTGGAATATTTATCCTGTCAAGACACCGAGCCAAAATATTATGCAAAATATTTTTATAATGTATGTCAAAAGGGTCAATATTCGCAACTGCTTCAGCTAGCACAAAGGGTGACAGCTTTACCATCAACGTCAACACCAACGGTAGCTACAGCATCGCCGTCCAGGGAAACGTCTGGTTGCAAAGCGCACCGACGTTCGTTAGAGTCAACAAGCAGGTGTTCAGCACCGCCGATGGCTCCTTGAAGCTTCTGGAGACCACAGGAACATCTGGATCCGACTTCATCGGCAAATGGCAGGCCACCAACTTCCTCTACCAAGCCAGCACGTGCCGCTTTCTAGCCAGCATCTACGTCTACACCCCCGACCCAAGTATCTTCTCCTACAACAACCCACCTGAACAATTTCTGCTCTTCAAACAGGTTTGCCTTTCCAATAGCTCCATTTGCGATCTTTTGGTTTGAACAAGACTATTTGTGAAATGGACTGTGAAATAAAAGGTTAATATGAAAAGCCTATCAACAAATGTAGCAGCTAGATATCTTCTCATCTTACAATCCACCTGAACAATTTCTGTTCATCAAACATGTTTGACTTTCCACTTGTGTGGTTTAGCTCATTTTGCGTTCATTTAGTTCAAAGCAGACCTTTTCGTTCAGGCACTCCGGACAGAACAGTTGAAATGAAAAGCGTATTAACCAGTGTATCAGCTGTGTTTGTTTTTGACTTAAACTTCCCTCCATTAAGACTTTTCGAAAATATTGTTCCAAAATGAATTTCTTCAAAGGGGTTAAGAAATGCATACGTTTGTATTACGTATACTTATCGCATATATACATGTATGATGATTATTAATGCAATTTGAAATGACTCAGTAACATACAGATGGTTCACACACCTGAATAATGGCGCTAGATTACGGCGTAAATGGGAGATTTCATTTGCCGCTTTTGGCACTATTCCACCTAGATTACGGCGGATATTGGGGGCCGTAGTTGCCGCTTTGGACTCTATCCGACCGATATTATGGCAGAAATTCGACCCACATATTGTTTTCTCTTGGAGAAGCAAACCCGAGCCTTCGGTGTGACGAGCAAACACTATAACCACAAAGGCTACCTATCGCAGCTGTTTTCTTAAGAATTCACGTCGTTTTTGCGTTTTACGAACAAATGTAAAGTTAAGAAAGTCAAGAAAAAAGCCCTTCCAGGCACATTTATAACCTCTAATGACACAATAAACCGTTTTCACATTAAAATGCATTCACAGAATCTGTCATACTCATTATGGACATGCGCTAACTTAACTTTGTGGGGGTTTTTTCCACAGACTTACCTAACCCAGACCAATGCCACTCAGGCGCCATCAGTTGATGAAACCATAGCTGGCTTCCCTGGGTTTGTTGTGGAGGAGGCGACTGCCCCCCTTGGGTACATGTCCTACGGCGGCGACATGTACGGCGACAGCAGCAAAGCTTTCGGACAGTACGTGTTGTTTTCTCAAAGGGAATTAATGATGGTGTTGGCTTAAACCATTTCGTCAGTTACATCCAGTATGTGGCCAATATATGGCGCAGGACACCCATTTACATAATCGAATCCCGTCACATTTAAGAGAGATACCTCTGCACAGTGAAATCTGTTGTCTTAGACCCCTAGACCAAGCACGTCTTATACATTTTGTTTGACGGTGTTAATATTGTTATTATTTTAGATTTGTTTCATTATTTCAGATTTGGCCCCAAAATGAAGATTACCTCCGGCATCAGAAGTGGCCCCCTCGCTATATTTGACCGGGTCAAGACCGCCAACACCCTCATCCTGTCCCCAGCCAGTACCTTCATGGCCGCCAATCTTTGGTACCAAACCTCCAGCACCGGAAACAACCTTTACTGGGGCATCATGGGTGGAGTCTCTGATATTACGCCTGGTTTTGAAACCAGTACCATTCTCTTCTACAGCAACCAAGGTATCAACAAGGTGAGTTATGAACTGGTGTCAACTTTTTAAAATAATTAATTTGTTGAAAATAAACATGATTATAAATGAACGTAATGTATGTCAAAGGATAATGTGACAGATACATAGGAATAGGAATCTGGATTTAAAGCGGTCCCCAATAGCCATACAAAGTACGGCCGCATAAAGGGGTACAAAGGGGATCGGATGCTCGACTTGGGGGATCGGATGGTCAGACTCCAAGACTGAGTTTGCGAGTCATTGTAAATTGAAGAGTCGATTTCTATAGGCCGTTGTCAGACTCCACTTTTGACTGGGTAGTAGTGATATAATATGATATACACTTAAGAAATTAACGAATCATTTTTGTGTCATGGTACAAAATAATATCCCTATAAAAACTGGAGTAGTATAGTTTCAATATTACCGAGTATGGGTTAACGACAAATATACTGAAGAATATAAGAACATAGTCAATCTGTGGAGCAAAGGTTGGGTAGAGGTTTCAGTGATAGATATGTTATCGGGACATGAAGGACAGGACGATCACGGTGAACCTAGATATACCTGATGGAGACACTTGTGTCTTTGATCTAGCATTGCAGGTCAAGTTTAGTGCAAATTATAATAGACAAAGAAGGTTGAATGAATTGATGCTTGTCACGTTAAATATTGTAACGTCTTTTGGCCAGTATCGACCTTCCAGTCCCCGGGAACGCTGTATCCAAGGTCAAAAACGCTTATTACACGTAAAACATGTGCAAGTTTATTGTGTCCGGAGAAGGATAGGCTGACCATTTCGCTGAATCATCACTAATTGAATCGCGCAACGTAGACGGCTGGTGGAAATTGTGTCATTGTTTTTATGTTACTAATGATTAGTTGATTAGATATCAACACAGTTATATGGATTGAATATAATGATGCTGATCACTTGCTAGATAATGTCAATAGAAAAAAAAGGCAATGAAGCTTTATGGTGATTGTAAAGTTTTAGATGCTGGTTTGCGGGGGTTTTTTTTAATTAATAACGATAATAGACCCTATTAATATCAATTGAAATGATATCAAAACACCATAATGGAACTTACCATTTATTTCATTTAAAAACATAATCTAAATTCAAATTAATTTGATATATGTATGTACCCAAACTTTTTTGTGTGTACTAGTTATAATGTTCATATCTCTGTCTCAGGGATTCGTCAGCTGGGGTCAGATTTTACAGAAGATGTACGAAAGAGACAACAGTTTTGTCAAGTCAGATTTCACCAACAACTATCTGGGATACTGGACAGATAACGGTAGGAAAGCTCTCCGAACTGGTGCTCCTTCTCTAGTCGATCCATTCAATATATATATATATATTGGTTGACACTCAAACTTCTCTACAATAGACTGATCACAACCTGTTCCATGACATTCCACTATTGTTTGATCAAGCTCACAAAGTAATACTGGTTGTACTATGGCAAAGATCCTGTGTTTTCAGGGGCGTATTACTATTATAACACTGAACCTCAGAAGAACTACCAGGATACTATCCTGGACCTTGCCATCGCAATCAAGGAAACAGGGATACCCTTCAGGTAGGTGGTTACCTTCAGTTCCATCAAGGAAGCATGGATACCCTTCAGGTAGGTGGTTACCTTCAGTTCCATCAAGGAAGCATGGGTACCCTTCAGGTAGGTGGTTACCTTCAGTTCCATCAAGGAAGCAGCGATACCCTTCAGGTGGGTGGTTACCTTCAGTTCCATCAAGGAAGCATGGGTACCCTTCAGGTAGGTGGTTACCTTCAGTTCCATCAAGGAAGCATGGATACCCTTCAGGTAGATAGTTACCTTCAGTTCCATCAAGGAAGCATGGATACCCTTCAGGTGGGTGGTTACCTTCAGTTCCATCAAGGAAACATGGATACCCTTTAGGTAGGTGGCTACCTTCAGTTCCATCAAGGAAGCATGGATACCCTTCAGGTAGGTGGTTACCTTCAGTTCCATCAAGGAAGCATGGATACCATTCAGGTAGGTGGTTACCTTCAGTTCCATCAAGGAAGCAGCGATACTCTTCAGGTAGGTGGTTACCTTCAGTTCCATCAAGGAAGCATGGATACCATTCACGTAGGTGGTTACCTTCATCAAGGAAGCATGGATACCCTTCAGGTGGGTGGTTACCTTCATTTCCATCAAGGAAACCCTTGAGATAATTGACCACCGGTGCCCATTTTCTCCTGGATGAATAGAAGCAAATTTGAACAAACTCGCTTGCCCACGGTGAGATTTCAGGTGTTCTTCTTCGTTTTGGGGCAGGACAGAAGTCCTAGAAACTCTCAGTAAGTCAAGCTGCCAAAGACAGTCACCCATCCAAGAACTCTCGTGATCAAAGTTGCTTAACATCACCTGATTTGTGACCTGCGCTCTATGCACAAGGCCACATACCGGCACGGTAGAGCTTATCAATAAATCATATAATCAAATAGGTAGATTGTATTTTATGTAATCTCCATTTTTATTTGTCCATATGATGTAACTGTGATACTTACCATAATTCGTTAGACATCTAGTATCTGAATGAGATATAGATCATTCCAATAAATAATTGTAGGCTTTAAGTAAGTACAACCTCCATTTCCATTTGGATTTATAATAGATAATGTTGGAGATAATGTCTCCAAAATGAAAATATTGGAGAAACAGTTGTTGAATTATATTAAAGATATGTATATATAGATAAAGATATGTAATGAAAACGAGCCTGAATATTTTCTTTATGCTCCGAAAAAGCAGTAATCTAGACTTGTTGACTGCTGAATTCTTACATGGACTGTATTGAATATATTCCAGTCACGATCTGTATACCTACAAATGCCTGCGTAGCAGTGCCAACTGTGTGAGTGGTGAGTGCTTATGGTCGGGAAGGTCATGCCAACGAACAGGTTTTTTTTATTGATCTATTGATCCATTAAAACACATCTCATTACTATTTTGCCTTTTAAGCTCAGAAGGATGCGTTTCGGCATGTTATCGATAACAACTTGTTGGAGTTGACGTTCTATACATTGTACGATAGCCCCTGCAAGAACTTTTCAATTTCAAGTTCCATACGCAACAGGCTGTGGAATTACTGAACAACTGTCTGATAGCGAGTGGAATGAAACTCACTGACTCACTCAACCACTCACTCAACAACTCACTCAATCACTCACTCAATCACTCAACAACTTACTCACTCACTCACTCTGCTTCAGATACCTGCAGTTCGACTCCTGGTGGTACTACAAAGGTGTTGGGGATGGAGTCAAGACATGGGAGAGCACTCCTGAAGTGTTCCCTAACGGCATGCAGTACGTTGTACAGAATCTCTAAAACGAAAACAAAAGCCGTTCTCGGAGACATCCTCACATACACTACGTCTGGATACTAAACACACCCTTCAATTCACAACAAAATTCTTGATATGTTTCGGTAAAATAACAGTTTCCAGTAACGCTTAAGCGACGTGTCCACATTAATGAGGGTTCAGTGAATGTTTTGTATTCCAGGTGGCTTTACAATAAAACGGGACTCCCAATTTCAGCCCATAATAGATACTGGTAAGTACAAAAGATGTCTGAGATACGACATGCAAGATTTATAACACTAAGTTTGATTTGAATTTCAGCAACCCATACTTGTCTTAAGAGGCGAATAACGGCATCGGTCAGTCAAGCGGAGATGGTTGATGTATGTCATCGTAATTCATTTGCGCAGATCGATGTTCATGATGTCAATCACTGGATTGTCTGGTCCAGGTTTTTTTTAAAAACAGCCATCATTAAGCTGGAATATTGCTGAGTGTAACATTAAACAAACAAACAAACAGACAAACAAACAAACAAACAGACAAACAAACAAACAAACAAACAGACAGACAGACAGACAGGCAAACAAGACAGAGACCAAATTAGATGTTGTTGTTTTTTAACATCGACTCTTTGTCACTGCAGGGCAAGTGACACAACATATGCAAAGCAGAATGGTGGAAAATATGCTTTCCTTGTTGAAAACAACAAAGCCCTTCCTATTGACCAGGTAATTATGTTAATTGGACAAACTGTTTAGATTCTTCCATCTCGGTTCCTTTTGTTAGTTTCTTGCGGCCTATGTTGTCATGGGGGATTCAAGTTAAAAAAATGAGGATCGATACAGTATAACAGAGGTTTGTGGTTGGCTGCTACCGTTGCTTTACTTACCATCGCCTAAGTACAAATCTACACAGAAGGAGAGCGTGCATAGTTTTACACGGCTTTTAGCAATATTCCAACAATATTCCAGAAATAGACTTCATACATTGTACCCATTTGGGGAGTTCAACCCGGGTCTTATTTCGCTACAATAGACAAGTCTGGCGGATTCATTAAGAAAGGTTCCTTTAAATCGTGAGACATTCCGATTACCAAAATATGGCATCAATGAAAGTAAAACATTTTACAGTTCATCTTTTCAATTCATCCTTTCCCGATTTCACCATGCTTTAGTAACTTAAACAAGTACAGACAGATGGTTCTTGCGATCTGTTTTTTGAACATTTTACGAACCTATCAAACGTCCAGATGAACAAGGATTTGGCTGAGGGTAGCTGACGTAAAACATCACCATGTTAAAGAATTTTAAGGCTTCCTGTTGCGCACCAATCAGTGATGTTCCAATGCTGAAATTCTCACAAAGTTAACATTGGGACTGGCCAACATGTTGCTGATATCGCCAACCAATGAGGGTCGCTCGTAAATGGCATTCTCATTGGTCCGTTAGACAGAGCAGCGTAGCAAATCTGAGGAATGAAAATTAAAGGTTGGTACTTGTTGCGAGAATGAGGGAGATGGATCCAGGGATATGAGGAGGTTTTCCTGAATGAGAACCCTGGCCACAGAGGATGATAATTCTGCTAAATTAGTTTCAGGATTTCACGAAGTTCAACATTAACGGGAAGAGCAAGGTTACGAAACAATTGAATATTCATAGAGCAAATCAGGCTCTCTGTAGAATTCCTTCATCATTCTAAGTTTGTATTGGTCTAATAGTTGGACTGATGTTTGCTTCAGTAACGAGGCCACCGGGAATATTGGCATTCGTTTAGAGATACAGTATCAATAACACGCATGCTGGTGATGATGATGATTTTGAGATTTAACGTGCGTTTTCCGACGTGATGCGTATTTCACACACGTACACGGAGACGCAGTGTATGACGTAGTCTGTATGATACCAGCGGTCCAGTCAAAATGCAGGATTAAAAAATTGCATTCTCCCGGTAGAATTTCTTTTCATTTTCCTTACTATTATGTACATGCTTTACTTCTGTTTTCAGACATTTTGGGACGATCTTATCTCCAATGGTCGGAAATGGGGTCTTCTGACGTATGAGCAGGTGGGCATTTGTTTTGTATTTTCTGGTTAACAATTGACCTGCCTTTGCGTGTTTGTGACCGATGCCAATTGTGAAGGCAGTGGTTCCCACCAAAAACATATATTTATGGTAGAAACTCGTTCAACATTTATTCATTTGTGTTGAACACTGTCCATCAATTTTATAATGCTAAATAGAATACATTCAATTTGATTTGATACCTCTACATCCAAAGCATGTCCTTCGTCACTTCAGGACTGGCTAAACGTGGAGTTCGCCGACGTTCCTTCCCTCACCTACGATGCTTACCTGGGAGAAATGTGGCTCAACCAGATGGGGCGTGGGGCTGCCAAGAACGGTGTGACGATACAGTACTGTATGGCCAACAGTCGACACTTACTCCAAGGCATCTCCATCCCTACTGTAACACAGGTAGACAATTGTTGTACGGAACATTTTACACAACAGTTTGTGAATGTATGTACTTGATAATTTTTCGGTTCAGGGAAGATAACCTAATGACTAAAGAGCAGTTAAATTAAAACAGATCTTTTGGAAAGTTCATTTCTGCCTTTCCTACCTGTATACATATTGTTGCCCGGGAACATCTCGCCCCGATTTCTCGAAACAAGCTTAAGTCTGAGTTTTGACTCAAATTTGAGAAAATGCATTTTCTAGAATAAACTGAAATTGATATTAAACTCAAACATAGTAGACAGTTTGAGTTTGGTGGAAAGATCACTTAAGTTGTTTGGGCTTTTTTTATTTTAAAAATGCAGTTGAGTGAAAAAATCAGCTGTTTCAAATTGTCAAACTCAGTTTGAAATTTGAGTAAAAACTTACATTTGTTTCGAGAAATCGGGGCCTGGATTAGAACTGGACATCAGCAACCAATGCTTGTCCTAAAAGACTAACGGGGTTGGGTGGTCAGGCTCGCTATTGTGGTTGACACATGTCATCGTATCACAAATGCAGCGTTAAACAACAAACAAACAAACAAACAAAATAATCACTCACTCACTCGACAGGCAAGGGCCAGCGGTGACTACCATCCTGGCACCCAGCAATGGCGTATCGGCGTCACCTCTGTGTTTGCCCGGGCTATTGGCATCGCTCCATTCAAAGACAACTTCTGGACCACGACGGTTCAGCCTGGTAGTCCTTACAAAGGTATCTGTTTGGAAAATACTGCATACATTGTAAAGCTTGTTTTGAGTCGGAAATCAAATTTATGCATAAACAGATTTGAACTATGAGTTTGTGTGTGTGTGTAACTGAGTGAGTGTGTGTGTGTGTGTGTGTGTGTGTGTGTGTTTATAGGTGACTGTGCGAGTGTGTGTCTCTGAGCTTGTATGTGTCAGTATGTGTGACTATGGTGTATGTATGTGTCTATCTGTCTGTGTCTGTGTGTAAGTAAGATGTTTGTGTATCCATTTATGTAGTATCCATGAAATTAGATATGCCGGGTTATCTGTTTCGTACCGGTTCGCTATTCCCTAATAACAGACATGTGAGGCATTTTTAAGAAAGAGTTGTTTGTTTAGGCGCTTATCTGAGTTAGGGGGTTGATGGATACGTTTCTTCAACACAGGCGCACAAGAACCATACACGGAGTTGAACGCAGTGGTGGCCACTCTCAGCACGGGGCCTGTCGGACCAAGTGACATGATCGGCAAATTCAACAAGACCATCATAATGAAGTATGTAGAGTCGGAAAATATATGTTTATACAGTTTGATCATTCAGAGGTATATTTTATGAATTCCATGAACCAATTTAGAATATGGTTTAATGGTACGAGTTGAACAACCTACTGTCAAAACATAATGAGGTACAATTTGTAAATCTTGTACATATTTTAATCTTATAAAACTTACGAAGAAGAGACAGGACATGCTAACAGTACTAAATGTTTCCGAATGTGAATCGAGAAATTTAAAAGACATGAAAAGGCACCTTTAAGGTTATTTTAGGTTTAGGCTATGATTAAAAGATAATCATTTGTAACTTTTATATTGTAGTTTCAGCTTCATGTGCTTCCTGTCACACCATCACGAAATGTATGTGATGTTGGATGTGGTGGTGTAGTAAACGATATTTCCATAATTAATATTGCTCTGTTTCATAACTTGGGACTCACAACACAGAAACTGACAATTCACATTTTCGATATTTTCTTTATTTGGACTCATGGTTATTATTAAGAAAATATAAACCAACACTGTTTTCAGGAGCGTTAATTCGGACGGACTGATCCTTAAGCCATCCAGACCCGCCACAGCTATAGACAACATGATCAGAAGGGTAGGCACTCCATCTGAGACAAAAAGCAATTTTCAGAACATTACATTTTAGCATTTCCAGTGAACAATTACTTTTTCTATTAAACCGGAGATAAAGTCAGTTTCCCTTGCATTTTATAGATAAAATTATTTTTAATGTAGAAATAGAAAAGACAACGAAAAACATATGGACTGTTTATATTTTGGTCTCTCTCTGAAAGCAGGAACAAAACAAAAGTTTCCAGGGTTTACACAAAGAAGTTACCGTTTTATATTTTTAAAGTCGGAGAGCAAATCAGATGTTTCTAACATGTTTAGGATCAAATTGAGAAACAAATTTCAAGTAGATGGTTCTCGCTTATTTGTCTTTTGCTGGCATGGGCATAACATTTTTTTTTATGTTGCAACGGAGGGTGAATCAACTTGTTTCCCACATTTTTTGCATCCCATTTAAAATGTACATGATGGTCCTTAACGATTATCCTGACGTTCATCTTCAGCTGGCATGGGACGATTTTGAAGGTCCAGATGGCGAGGTGTGGTCAACATATTCTGACTTCGGTGGCAACAACAAATACGGCATCGTCCTTGCTGCTGACCTTCAAGGAAGCTACAACATGACCCCGTGTATGGCGGGGTTCCAAGGGGTAAGACATGGAGGGGTACCTGTCAAGAAAAATACTTTACACTCGCATACATGATGTTATAAATCATATATAAAACCTTGATTGTTCACTGTATAGTTTAATTTAAAATTTAAAATTTTAGTTTGACTCTACTGGGACAGAACGTGTGGTTGTTAAACTGGATCTCGTTTCATAGCATATTTTCTTGTTCCTTCTAATGAATCTCTGTTACCTGAGGTGAGGTGAAATTGGGTTTAACGTCGTGCTTGAGAATATTTCGCTCATATGACGACTGTTACCTGAGACATAAAGTATGCGTGAATGGCGTGTCTCCCAGAATAAGTCTCTGTTACCTGATACCTAAAGTATGCGTGAATGGCGTGTCTCCCAGAATGCGTGTCTCCCTGATACCATGCGTGAATGGCGTGTCTCCCAGAATGAATCTCTGTTACCTGATACCTAAAGTATGCGTGAATGGCGTGTCTCCCAGAATGTATCTCTGTTACCTGATACCTAAAGTATGCGTGAATGGCGTGTCTCCCAGAATGTATCTCTGTTACCTGATACCTAAAGTATGCGTGAATGGCGTGTCTCCCAGAATGAATCTCTGTTACCTGATACCTAAAGTATGCGTGAATGGCGTGTCTCCCAGAATGTATCTCTGTTACCTGATACCTAAAGTATGCGTGAATGGCGTGTCTCCCAGAATGAGTCTCTGTTACCTGATACCTAAAGTATGCGTGAATGGCGTGTCTCCCAGAATGTAGCTCTGTTACCTGATACCTAAAGTATGCGTGAATGGCGTGTCTCCCAGAATGTATCTCTGTTACCTGATACCTAAAGTATGCGTGAATGGCGTGTCTCCCAGAATGAGTCTCTGTTACCTGATACCTAAAAGTATGCGTGAATGGCGTGTCTCCCAGAATGTAGCTCTGTTACCTGATACCTAAAGTATGCGTGAATGGCGTGTCTCCCAGAATGTATCTCTGTTACCTGATACCTAAAGTATGCGTGAATGGCGTGTCTCCCAGAATGTATCTCTGTTACCTGATACCTAAAGTATGCGTGAATGGCGTGTCTCCCAGAATGAGTCTCTGTTACCTGATACCTAAAGTATGCGTGAATGGCGTGTCTCCCAGAATGAGTCTCTGTTACCTGATACCTAAAGTATGCGTGAATGGCGTGTCTCCCAGAATGTATCTCTGTTACCTGATACCTAAAGTATGCGTGAATGGCGTGTCTCCCAGAATGTACCTCTGTTACCTGATACCTAAAGTATGCGTGAATGGCGTGTCTCCCAGAAAGAGTCTCTGTTACCTGAGACCTAAAGTATGCGTGAATGGCGTGTCTCCCAGAATGTATCTCTGTTACCTGATACCTAAAGCATGCGTGAATGGCGTGTCTCCCAGAATGTACCTCTGTTACCTGATACCTAAAGTATGCGTGAATGGCGTGTCTCCCAGAATGTATCTCTGTTACCTGATACCTAAAGTATGCGTGAATGGCGTGTCTCCCAGAATGTATCTCTGTTACCTGATACCTAAAGTATGCGTGAATGGCGTGTCTCCCAGAATGAGTCTCTGTTACCTGATACCTAAAGTATGTGTGAATGGCGTGTCTCCCAGAATAAGTCTCTGTTACCTGATACCTAAAGTATGCGTGAATGGCGTGTCTCCCAGAATGTATCTCTGTTACCTGATACCTAAAGTGTGAGTGAGTGGCGTGTCTCCCAGAATGTATCTCTGTTACCTGATACCTAAAGTATGCGTGAATGACGTGTCTCCCAGATTGAATCTCTGTTACCTGATACCTAAGTGTGAGTGAATGGCGTGTCTCCCAGTATGAATCTCTGTTACCTGATACCTAAAGTATGCGTGAATGGCGTGTCTCCCAGAATGAATCATCTCTGTTACCTGATACCTAAAGTATGCGTGAATGGTGTGTCTCCCAGAATGAGTCTCTCTTACCTGATATCTAAAGTATGCGTGAATGGCGTGTCTCCCAGAATATATCTCTGTTACCTGATACCTAAAGTATGCGTGAATGGCGTGTCTCCCAGAATGTATCTCTGTTACCTGATACCTAAAGTATGAGTGAGTGGCGTGTCTCCCAGAATGTATCTCTGTTACCTGATACCTAAAGTATGCGTGAATGACGTGTCTCCCAGAATGAATCTCTGTTACCTTGATACCTAAGTGTGAGTGAATGTGTGTGTCTCCCAGTATGAATCTCTGTTACCTGATACCTAAAGTATGCGTGAATGGCGTGTCTCCCAGAATGAATCATCTCTGTTACCTGATACCTAAAGTATGCGTGAATGGTGTGTCTCCCAGAATGAGTCTCTCTTACCTGATACCTAAAGTGTGAGTGAATGGCGTGTTTCCATGTGTACAACCGGTGATTGAAAGTATGAACATGTCATCAGGACACGATGACATGCCCTTTCTCATGTCACATACGCAAGGACATGTTAATTACAGTCACATTTTACTAGGAAAGGATTTAAAAGGTCTTAAGAATGCTCAACCACCGCAAATTCCACACTTTGACAACTGTTGACTACTCCTCTGAAGTACCGCTTGGAATAAAGGGAAAGTTATAGATGATTTTTTTTAAAGTAATCTCTTTGTAATGAAGATTCAGCGTACATCCATCACCTCCTACATTATATAATTGTCCAATATGCAGAGAACCCAAGAAGAACCAGGAATATTTGACTTACCTATATACTTCCAGTTCCCCAACTCTATGGTGTTCTCTGCCAAAGACCCCAACAAGGTGCAGCTGCTAACAGACCCCCAGCCTCTCCTGCTGAGTGGTTGTACCATGGTGGACTTCTGTCTGTACTATGTCTCACCCGTTATACCATTTGGAGGGTGAGGATGATGTTGGCAATATTTTATATTTTGATCTGCTTTAGTTTTCCGTTTGACTGTTGTGAAAAGAACGTTATTTACAGGCAGGCATGAAGTGATCTTACGAACCCCATGTTCCAGAAAGGTGAGGTGAAATTGGGTTTAACGTCATGCTTGAGAATATTTCACTCATATGACGACTTGCATGCGTGTGTATGTGTATGTGCGGCTGCTTGTACTAGCCCAGACTGAAGCTGGTTTTATAGTGCTAGACCACTGAGATACCATGCCGAAGTGAAGCATGAATACCCCACTCAGACACATTATACTGACTCCGAGCCGACCAGTCCTTGTTGTACCCATTAATGCAGAGCACCAGACAGAGACCAACAAGTACCATATTTTAACGTCTTTTGGTATGACGCGGCCGGGGATCGAACCCGCGACCTTCCGCTCTCCGGGCGAACGCTCTAACCACTACACCACGGAGGCGGTCGTTCCAGAAAGGGCAGTGGGGTAGCTAAGTGCTTACAGCGTTCGCTCGTCACGCCGACGACCCGGGTTCGATTTCCACATTGTTACAATGCTTGAAGCCAGTTCTTGTGTCCCACGCCGTGATATTGCTTGAATATTGCGGCGCAAAACTAAACTCACACACTCGCCTAATGCTCCCGAGTTAATATTGGCATCAATTGCCGCAACACCTGCTTGTCGTTAAAGGCGACTTGATCAATCGGATGGTTGATAGTATGGGACATTGCTGATTACATCAATCACTGTAAATAATCGAGTCTGAAATAGACAAGCCAGTGACAACGAGCCTGTACCAGGCAATCCGGTGATTGATATCGAGAGCACCTATCTGCAATCAAACAAGTTGCCGAGCTTCACCACCGATAATCTGACTCAGCTCGGCCGAGGATACGGAGGCCATGTTTTAACCCGGAAACCAATTTAGTTTCTAAACATTGGTCTAAATATTAAAATTATGACATTATATGAGTGAATGAGTATGTTTAGGTTACGCCACTTTTAGCAATATTCCAGCAATATCACCGCGGAGGACACCAGAAAAGAGCTTCACACACTGTACCATAGTGGGGAATCAAACCCGGATCATACGCGTGACGAGCTAGACTATCCCAGCGCCCCTTAGTATTATGTGTATTGGTCGTTTTGGGGTTTACGGGTTGATTGACAGTTTAGATTTCCTTGGGTCGAGATGCAACGCCGGTTATCTCAAACACATACATCTCACAGGGTCCTGGCGGCCCCAGGGGACGCAACTCTGCACAGAATATAACTGCAAAATGTTTTGTCCATTGAAACAGGCATCAGGTCCTGATTCAAGGTGAACTTGACAAGTGGGTGCCAATGTCTCCACAGAGAGTTGTCGACATCACCGTTGACAGCAGCGACATCATCGTCCGTATTGCAGGAGCCTCAAATGAACAAGTCTTTTTCTGGTTCAACACTGACGGCGTGTCACAACGCGTTGGATGCTTTGTCGATGAAACCGGATTCACTTCTATCAGTTACGAGCAGATGGGATGTCCGGAGGCCTAAACACGCAATATGCCACTGAGACATTGCTCTATTTGAATTAATTCAATATGAATAAATGTAACAAAACTTTGTCGGTGCCTCACATTCACTATCATGTCGGGTTGTGTATGCGGTGGGGATAAAAGTCAAAATAAACCCCAAACATTTACCTTCTGTTTTGTTTTGTTAATGTTTTCAGGTAATGCTTAATAGCTAAATGCACATCTGTCAATTCCCATGCCTTTCTCCCACTGTTACAAACAAGCAAGACGTCTAAGAAACTTACAATCTGGATTTTGATTGCTTGATGTTTAACGATCAAATACTCAAATTCTAACACGACCGTCTGCGATTAATCTAAGCTAATGAAACAATCCAGTGATTGACATCATGAACATCGATCGACGCAATTGGGTTACGATGACATAATAATAATAATAATAATAAGTGTATTTATATAGCGCTGTCTTCCATGCATCAGCATGCTCTAAGCGCACGGAATAAAACTAAAAACAAAGTCTGGATGTCACACAGTTCAGAGTTCAGGAACAGACAGCTTGTTGAAACAGAAAGGTTTTTAGTGTTCTACGGAATGATTGGAGAGATGGTGAGCCTTTCACATGTTCTGGGAGGTTGTTCTACTCTACAGCTGCGGTGTAGGGAAAGCTTCTCTGTCCATAGCGAGCAGTCTTGGCCTTAGGAACTGTGAGGAGGTTGTGGTTTGAGGATCCGAGAGGGATGGTAAACCTGAATCATGTCACAGAGGTACCCCGGAGCTGTGCCAGAGTCGCATTGATAAGTCAGACAGAGGACTTTGAACTTCAGTCTGTATTCCACTGGTAACCAATGTAGGTTCTTCAAGACGGGCGTCATGTGATCGTATCTGCGTGTGAGTGAGACAACTCGAGCTGTTGTGGATTGGATTCTCTGAAGTTTAGACGTGACAGTTTTTGATGCTCCGGCAATGAGGTTGTTGCAGTAATCGAGTCGGGAAAGTATTAGGGACACTGCTAATGTTGCGGCAGACTGAGTAGTGATGTGTTTCCGGATAGAGCTGATGTTTCTGATGTGAAGATAGCACCGAGCCTGACCACCCGAACCCATTAGTAGCCTCTTACGACAAGCATGGTTTGCTGAAGACAAATGCTCACCAGTGGCTTCACGGGTCCTCGATTACTTACACACTGCAATGATATACCAGGAACATTCGATCACGTATAATTCAGTAAATTTATTCAAACCACGTTAAGTCAACACTCACACAATAGCTCACTGCACCAGATCATGGTCAACTCACATCCTACTGTGAGTGAGGGAGTAAGATGTTTCTGTTAGGTAACGTATATGAGAAATATCTGCCTAGCGAAACGCCAATGATGTGACGGACATAGCAAATATGCTGACGGGCAAAGGAACGTATACTCCCATATTTGATAAAATGGAACTAACAGGGACTCCGAATTGGTCCGGATAAAGACGGTTTTATGATGTATGTCACTCGTCGATGTATTTAATCTGATAATAGTGACATTCCAGTAAAAGGAGGTTTCGGATTAGTGAGTTAGTGAGTTTAATTTTACGCCGAATGAAGATGATGAAGAAGAAGAAGATGATGATGATGAAGATGAAGAAGATGATGATGATGAAGATGATGAAGATGAAGATGATGAGGATGAGGATGATGAAGAAGAAGATGATGATGATGATGAAGATGACGACGACGACGATGATGATGAAGATGAATAAGAAGACGATGATGATGATGAAGATGATGAAGATGAGGATGATGAAGACGATGATGATGATGAAGATAAAGATGAAGAAGATGATGATGATGAAGATGAAGATGAAGAAGACGATTATGATGATGATGATGATGAAGAAGATGAGGAAGACGACGACGACGACGACGATGATGATGATGATGATGATGATGATGATGATGATGATGATGATGATGATGAAGAAGACGATGATGATGATGATGATGATGAAGATGAAGAAGAAGACGATGATGATGATGATGATGAAGATGAAGAAGACGATGATGATGATGATGATGATGATGATGATGATGATGATGATGATGATGAAGAAGACGATGATGATAGGATATGATGAGTTAAAAAGATATTCTAACGTACTTATTACCAGCTGTCCAACCTATTTTCTCTATTTCTAAATACGGTTTGAAAATTGCAAATGAGAGTTGTCTCAAGAATGAACAGAATAATAACAATCTTGTTATTTCAGAAAAAGATAGACAAAATGACATATATCTGAAACTGAGCAATTGGAGAATCCTACCGTGATTAAGTGTAGGTGGTGTCTAAAAGCTGAAAGTCTGAATTTGCTTGTGCAACCTTGCTGCTATACCCCTGGTGGAATTTAAAATGAAAAAGATATAAAGGATTCCAGAGATGCCAGACTAGTATATAGTATGACCAAAAATTATTGGGAATTCTAGGAATATGTTTAATTGGCTTTCTAGTATAAAGAACCATGACCAGCTATGAAGTGCTTGGTTTCATTCAAGAGAGACAACTCCGTTAATCGTTTTTTATTAGTTTGTGAAGAGTTATACTCCTTCTTTACTTGCTAGCAGACGACATTTCCAGTGATCCTCAGTATGGATGATTTAGAGAAGAGGAAGTTGATTTTAGAGTATTATAACAAGACATCATATCAGCTGAAGTGATGTCAAGTAGAACAGGCATCCCTTTGTCCACTGTTTATCGTGTTTTGAAAACTATCGCAAATGGATATGGCATTGAACAACAGGGAGGCGCAGGTAGACCAAGAGGCGGCTTGGTATTCTTGTTTCTAAAAACAAACGAAGGAGTTTAGAAAACTTAAGGCTGATAGAGGAACTGTGGCTGTCTGTAAGGAGACAATTAGAACTGAGCTGCATACAATGGGTTGGCGGAAAAGTCGATGATTCCATCACCGATCATGAAACCTGAACAAAAGGAGCGAAGGTTGAACTGGTGCTTACAGCATAGAAATTGTAACAGGGACAATGTGATTTTCTCAGATGAAAGTTCTATGTGTCTGTTTTCTAATACACTGAAATTCTGGACCAAACAAACTGAAAAACCTTTGTATCAGCGTCCAAAGTACAGTCCGACATTGAACGTGTGGGGTGGCATATCTGTGTTAGGGACAACGCCCCTCTGTGTATTTGAAGGGAATATGAGCAGTGAGCGGTACACAGATATTCTCGAGGGCCATTTACTTCCATCTGCTCACGTTATCTATGGAAATGTTTGGATTTTCCAGCAGCACAACGACCCAAAACATCTTTCAAAGCATTCACAGGCCTGGTTTCGGACCCAAAATATGCCATCATTAGATTGGCCAAGCTATAGCCCTGATTTAAATCCAATAGAAAATGTTTGGTGACTTATGATGGAAAGTGTCAATAAGAAAAATCTGACAAATATTGCTGAAATGAAAGAAGAGTTGGTCCGATATTGGGACAGCATGGACCACGACTTTCTAACTTCTTTGATCAGTAGTATGCCCCGCCGCATTGAAGCCTGCATTGCTGCCCATGGTGACTTGACAAAATACTAACTGTTCACCTGTCTTTGAAACTGGAGTTATGTTCTGCTAATATTCACATTTAATACGTGAGTAATGAGTGAAAATTTTTTAAAAAATGACAATCTTTAAATTCTCAATAATTTCTGGTTGTACTCTACATCCAGTGAAGTGAAATGTAAGCACAGTGTTTGAGATTAAAGTTGATCAGTTGTTATATACATGTTGAAACTACAAAATACATTACAAAAAATGTCAGAAAGCGCACGTATAATCTGAAAAGCAAGCCAACAAGATCGTCTCAGAAAATACTAAACTGGAATTCTTTTATTTCAGAACGTATACAGAGTGCCTGTTTGTTTCAAAGTTTACCACCAACAAGCGTATACTTTCATTTGCCTGTAAGTATATTCACAATGTCCGTCATATGATTGGCGTTTCACTAGGCAGAGTTACCTAACATAAAAGCAGCTCATTTACATTTATGTGTTGCGTTAGCGTGGTTTGAATAAAAACTGAAATATACGTGATCGAACATTCCTGGTATATCATTTCAGTGGATAAATAATCGAGAGTGAGGATACGGTTAGACTTGGCCTTCAGTAACCCATACTTGTCTCCACCCCTGAAGGTCCGGGTTAGAATATTGGCCTTCACCAACCCATACTTGTCTCCACCCGTGAAGGTCCGGGTTAGAATATTGGCCTTCAGCAACCCATACTTGTCTCCACCCGTGAAGGTCCGGGTTAGAATATTGGCCTTCAGCAACCCATACTTGTCTCCACCCGTGAAGGTCCGGGTTAGAATATTGGCCTTCAGTAACCCATACTTGTCTCCACCCGTGAAGGTCCGGGTTAGAATATTGGCCTTCAGTAACCCATACTTGTCTCCACCCGTGAAGGTCCGGGTTAGAATATTGGCCTTCAGTAACCCATACTTGTCTCCACCCGTGGAGCCTTCAGTAACCCATACTTGTCTCCACCCGTGGAGGGTTAGAATATTGGCCTTCAGTAACCCATACTTGTCTCCACCCGTGAAGGTCCGGGTTAAAATATTGGCCTTCACCAACCCATACTTGTCTCCACCCGTGAAGGTCCGGGTTAGAATATTGGCCTTCAGTAACCCATACTTGTCTCCACCCGTGGAGGTCCGGGTTAGAATATTGGCCTTCAGTAACCCATACTTGTCTCCACCCGTGAAGGTCCGGGTTAGAATATTGGCCTTCAGTAACCCATACTTGTCTCCACCCGTGGAGGTCCGGGTTAGAATATTGGTCTTCAGCAACCCATACTTGTCGTAAGAGGCGACTAATGGGTTCGGGTGGTCAGACTCCTGACGTGGCTGTCACATGTCTTCGTATCCCAGTTGCATAGATCGACGCTTATGATGTCAATCACTGGATGGTTTGTTCAGGTTCGATTATTTACAGACCGACGTCTTATAAGTATTTCAGCGTTAAACAACAAACAAACAAAATCCAGATTGTAAGCGTCTTGCATCTTGCCCCTTTGTTACAAAGGAAGAAAGGCATGGTACTTTATGTATGTGCATTTAGCTACTAAGCAAACACTGAACACTCGTGAACAAAACAGAAGGTAAATGCTTTATTGATTTGACTTTTATCCCCACTG